GAAGCTCGCTGCTTCTTGTGTAACCTCACAGTGAGTGGCAGTCAACTATCCAAGCAAAATAAATAAGAAACGACAATAATGGATTTTGTTGGGATCACCCACTGCCTACTCAGCATCAATCCACGTTCTTACCGAAGGATGAGCACAACAAAACATCAGGGACTCCTCTCACAGCGGAACGTGGCCAGAAGATCATGTCCCTGAAATTTTGTTGCGGTAACTTTGAAGTACTGAGGAATTACATTATATACCCGAAAGCACGGCGGATGTTCACGCGGTTGATTCCTCGCCAGCACATACCCGACAGGAGAGCTTCGGCGAGGATGGGCTTGAGCGCAGATCTCCGATGGAAGCCCGCAACTGGTTTTTCTTTGTTTTAACTACTATACTTAAGACTACGGAGTCTGAAACTTCGAAAAGGTCAAGGCTACTGATGGTTGTAGTGAGGTTCGCGGATTCATTCGAAAGGTCCAGCGGATATCTTCCGTCTCATCCATGTCGCCCCTAATGTTGAGCTTGCTCATCGGTCATCATGGAAACTTATGCTCTGCTGGGCATTTGTCTATAATAAGCGCTGAGGAAAGAGAAACAGCGGCAGGATGTAACCAAATGCTGGACTCTCTCGGAATGCTCTAGGAATTCTGAGGGTAGGAAACCATCTAGAGATGGGGGACATGAGCCATTATGGAGATGAATTGGCCGTTAACATAAAATGTACCTTGAACAGCCGCTTTTTACAGTGAGCTTTTCTATCCGGGCGGATAACTATCTTTATTAGGCGTAATGTCCATTTTCTTTTTTTGAAAACTTGTACTATCATGTCGCCCCTGTCATCTCTACTGTCCCTGTCGTCTCTGTCCCCTTTCCTCTCTCCATCCCTTTTGTCGTCGTTGTCGTCGTCACCCTCGTCGTCGATGTCGACGACCCGCCCAGATAGGTAGAAGTATCCGCCTGGGTAGCAAAAATCTTTACGTGTAGCAGCATTGCAAGTGAAGATCGAACGGACGCAAAGCTTACAGGCAGCATTTAAGAAGAGATTGACGAATTGATGAATTCCAGAACCAGCCCAAGGCACAATGGAGTACTTATTGTACTGGCTGTGCGTTAAGAGAGCATAGAAAACCTTGTAATGCTGGTGAAGATTTGATGTCTCCTGCTACAGCCGATCCCATGGCTGACTCGCTTGAGGCTCGAGACTCACTGGTCCGTCCCTCTCCTTGACAATTATTCCGGAATGAATACTTCAGGAGCGTTGCAAATTCACGCGGACCAATTCAGAGGCCTTCTGTGGCGTGAGCAATCTCCCGATGACCTGACTGTCTTCTGTGTGGACACAACAGTGCGGTCTGCATACACAAAGTCAGACAGATCAACTGCCATTCCTGTGCCCGCATATGAAACCCAGGAGCAGAGTAATCTTTTATATCAGAAAAATAAACGAGATGTTCATCGAATTCGCGAGAAGACACACAGTGGAAAGAGGTGAGTTGCTCAGTACATTCTACGAGAATGACCCTCAGCACGAAAGGTCTGGTCAGGTTATTTAAGGCCGGAAGATTCGTGAGGCAGTGAGAAAAAAGCCCTCTGGAAGCCACGAGAAAGTAGGGACGCTTCGTTCATTATTGCGTGAGCAGCCCCGAGATGCTCAGATTGGGGCCCATTACATCTTGCCACAGACAAATACACGCCATTGACAAGCCACGAAAGGTCAACTTCGACCCTAACAGAAGAAACCTGAATGAGCTGCAACGTATCAAAGCCGAACGGCGGCAATGAAGTACAGCATCGAGGACGTGGTGCGAGAAGTTACGGCGTTGTACGGTAGTACCTCTTTCCCACCAGAGCCTGCATGAAGTGCTCCTACAGTACGCGAGAAATGAAGAAATGGACCCCAGTTTCATTTTTCTCCTCCTTTGGTACGATTTCAAGTCATGTATCTGGCGAAATGAGATTTATAGAAGATGACACGTGGGTGCTGTATGCGCTGCTGCATAAGATATCGAGACTTTGCTCCTCGAGCCACAGTATTTAGGGGAGCGTTCCGTGAGTCTCGACGAGATCTAACCAAGACAATTGTGGCTATAAAACTGGTTGTGAGATACTGCCTTTCACACAACACCCTGACAATTTCCTGCACTCCATTTACACCTACCATAACCAGCTTGAGCATGACGGACTTGTTCCTCTCATACTCGTCTCACGTCGTCGGTGCTCAGCACTGTCCTCACTTTCCGTTTATTCAGACCTATTTGTCGATTAGGAGATGATGAGGTTGACCAGGTCCCTCTGACGCGTTTCCGAGCAGCGGACGCGACCGCCGCGGCCACGGAATCTGCTGGGGTTGGAGAAAATGCGAAGTTCAGAAAGAAGTGATCTCATTCCAAAGAGCGACCTACCAACACAGAGAGTTCAATTGTCACGGGCCAAGAGTGCAAGGTATGGCGCTCTATTGAAGAGCATAGGTAAGGTGACGCGTAACGATTGAAGCCGAATCTTACGCGATGAGAAGCTTGCTAGACTGCATATAAACAGCATACCTTGATGTGGAAATGCATTGAACAGCCCGGAAATGCGAGCGTTCGGGTGCTGAGACTTGGTCATGATACTCAGACTTTCTTAAATGCTCCGGTGTTCGATATGACGTCGATGGTGGTGCAATGGATGTCGGTATAGTAAAGGAGCGGCGTCACATGTACGTGACATTATAGTATTACGCACCGGACACGAGTGAGGGCGGATGAATGCAGCAGAACACAGGGCTCGATGTCTTCTAGGCTGGGGAGGAGTTGTCGCTCGTGCGGCCAGAAACTTACAAAGAGGGTCATTAGCGATCGATGACAGCACGGGAACGGATCCAAAAGTTGAATTCCTTTTGCAGAATCCAGAGCTGTTGAAGACGCAAGGTTTTATAGATGCTCGCCTTTAGCCACGTTGTGTGTAAGTTACCATCAGCGGGGCGTTCTTTAGTTTTTCGATATTTAAGGAGCAGCTGTTTCGGATAACTCATTTAGAAACCCAATTGTACATCGCATCGACAAATCTCTGCGACGAGAAGATAAGATGTAGGACAGATCTGTGGAAATTATGTAGCTTCAAAAGTTCATTCGTCTGCGTGAGTGTAGTTTGGACTCGCTGGAATGTTCACCTTGCAGGTACACCCGCAAGACGAAGGCAGAGGTGGACGATGAGAAGAGTAACGGCGAATCTACAGGAAGATACGGCCTGCATCTTCTGACTCAAGAGGGATAATCCGGAAGCTGATTCGCAGACACCGATTGCTCCAACAGTTTTTCGCAATTTGGTGCTTCGGAGACAACAATGAAGACCCCGGCGTCCACTTACACGTTTTGAGACTTGCAATAGAGAGCTGTGGCTCCAAGTGTAGTTGCCGAACCGCATCTCTGTACACTATTTTAATCACTTCACGGTTAGAGTAGGGTGTGATCTCCACCATGACGAAATAGGACATAGTTTGTTGTTCTCTACTGGAAAACTTTTGAGCAGTTGGACAACACCTCCAAAACCTCTGAACAGGACCACGATGCCGAGCTTAGGTCTGTCTACTCTTCTCCAGTTGCCATCTCTATTAGAGCATCATACAAGAATAAGCAGATGCCCGACATGCCTGAGTAGATGCTGTGACCGAAAGAGAGCCTTGGAGTATGATGCGAACCTCGGGCTCGGCAGGACCCTTCTGAATCATGCTACCGTCATGCGGTTAGCAGAGGGGCACATGTGGCTGTCTGTCTTGTTACGAGATGCCTCTTTGCTTACTACTTTATACCACCAAGCTCGGCGCAGGGAAAGAGTGGATTTAGGAAGGGGGCTTCTTGATTGAGAATGGGGGTCGTTAATAGGTGGGTATAAATAACTGCAAAGAGTCGTGAAAGCAAATGTTGAAAGCCACGGCAAATGCCAGTATCTGGACATATCTGTTGATGGCGGTGACCTCGTGTAATGCCCTGCTGGATGACTTCTTCTGCAGGTGTCTGAGATGGGCTAGCAACAAGAAGGCGATCCGCGGACCCAGAATAGCCTCAACGAATACCAGCAAGACGACGGTAATGACAAACAGACATACCGCGAGGCCAGTAGTCTGCGGGAACGCAAGCTTCATAGCCGCCCTTCGCTTTGACGTATCCCCTGTAGGTTCTCAACCTCGATTTCAACGTGGTCGACTTGCCGCTGGATCTTCGCGAGCAAATACGGATTACATTGCCTAACCTTCCACTTTGAAAGCAAATCACGCTCAATATATACACCCAGCATACGCCACTAACCAGCCCCAGAGAGGGCAACCGCGCTTCAAAAATCACCTATTTAAACAAGTCGACAGCAGTAGGTAGACTCTCTCCCAAAGCCCAATCATCGTCTTGGTGCTTCTGTTCTTTTTATCAGCAAGAGGGACACAGCCATGCTATTCGCAACCCTATACCTTCGGCCGTTGCAATGCCCGTGTCTACGTAGGTAGTATGTTCTCGTCTTCTTCGTCTCCCTCGTCACCGTCGTCCTCCACGGCCGTCCTCCACGGCCGTCCTTCACCATCGTCCCCGTATTCCGTCAAGACAGCGGAGTGTCTTGTCTGACAGTGCCATGCAACCGTACCGCTTTTTGTCCCTGCGAGAACTTCAGCATGTTGATCTCATACTTGGACCAGTTCTAACACAGATACGCATAATCCAATCGGCCTTCACTCAAGAAGAGTGACTGTGCCCCTTCAAAGCCTCAAAGCCCAACAACCCTTGCAATTTATCACTCTTTCCACCCCTCGAACGATGCCGTCCCCACGATGTAACTTCAGCACAATACCCAACACCCATGAAGAACTGTGAAATCGCAGTGTATTCATCAGCAAATAGCCCTCTACAATACCCCTAACCCACGCTCAAAGGCGGATGCCAACAACTCCATTTTCCCACCAACTCCACGCCGTGAAGTTCAATCCCAAGTTCCAATCCCTCAAACTTTGTACAAATGACTTCCTGCAACGCACAATCCCCTCAATCATCCTCGATATCATCATCACTAATGACTAAATTCTGCACCTGCAGCCCCGCCACCGACCCATCACTCTTGTGCCGGATCGAGGCCCCCTTCTTGCGGGGCGTCGACTCCTCTGACGGTTTATCGGTCGCCCAGGCATCCCCCGTCATGATGTTATCGTCCGGCGCGTCCTCTGCATCCTCGTCGTCTGCTACTTGGGCCCCGATGCCCTGGAACGAGACAACCTTCTCGATGTCTCGAAGTTTGAAGGAGTGGAGTGTTGACTTGCGGCCGCGGACGATGGCAGCCATGTACGGCAGACGCTCAAGCAACATCTCTCTGCGAGCTGAGCTGCCGAGTGAAAGCAGTGGCGTGGAATCGGTCTCTGTCTTGGTGTCGTTTGTCGGTGCAGGTTTAGACTGGCGCTTAGCCATCCAACTACCGACGTCCGTCTGCTTCGGTCGTTGGAAAGCGCTCGCGCTGTCCATCAGGCCCTTTCTGGGCGCACTCTCCTCGCCCTTCATGAGTTTCGTAGACCACACATCGACCAGACTCTCAAACTCCTCCTTCTGTCGCCACAACTTGATACTAGTTGGGTAGAACATCTTGTACTGATCCCCGCCCTTCGACCCAGACGCCTTGCGCTTGACGGGCGATGGCAGTGAAAAGAGCATCCCGCGGACGGCGACCTGGAAGGCGATCTCGTCTTGTCGGAGAACGTGGCTGCCCGAGTCTCTGCCAAAGCCGGCGTACGCACCCCTGCCGCCGAAGAATATATCTGACGACCGGCAGAGCAGGTCGCTCTCCGAGAGGTACTCAATACAGCCATTGACGTAGTCTAGTGGTGTTGATGCATCCATTGGTGGTACCGTCTGGCAAGAAAACATGTAATTCTCGTGAAGTGCGGAGATGAATGTCTGCGTATCGGTGCCCGTCTCGTCTATTAACGTGTCGACCATTACTTCTGACGGCTTCGGCCGGGAGTGATGCGCGAGGTAGCTTGGCAATACCTCGGCTGGATTTGGCCCCGCGGGCGTTTCTTCTCTTTTGTTGTAAACCACCTTGCCGACAGCGTGGAAAATACCCAGACTGGCTTCGCGTTGGGATATCAGCTCCAGGGTGTCTTGCTCCCCCTTCGTCATGGAAATGCCGGCCTTGGCGCCCTTCGACTGCTTTGATAAGGCAACCTTGGCTCCCCAGTCGGCGTCCTGGTCGCCCTTCAAGCACATGAACTCCAGCGACGATATCGCACTTCGAATGTCGCCAATCTCGCCCAGTCGTTTCAGCACTTGAGGTCCTGGGGTACGTTTCCTGCCAGACTTTCGCGCCTCCTTCATGACCACCAACTCCAGTGCTTTCGCGAGGAGCGTGGGCGCGATGGCGTTGAACTCGATGACCTTTGCGCCGGGGTGTCGCAGGATATCGGGGCCAAGCAGGCGATGCGCAGTGAAGCTGTCCGCCGAAGCCGAGGTCGTGGTCAGCAGCGTTTCCGAGATAACCAAGACGATCGGGGTGATTGGCTCATGTGAAGGCCGGCGCCCGAAGGCAGAGAGTGCAGGCGTGTTTGTCGCCAAGTAGTCCAAGATGGTATTTCTGAATGAGGTCAAAGCTGACGATGACCTCGAAAAGGTATTTGGGAATTCCTCCACCAGGATGATCTTCTGTGTTGAAGGATCCGCCTTCTCAGTCTTTGGCCGCTGTGCCTCCGCCGTCAGATCCAGATCGAGCTGACCGAACTTCCCGCCTCTGCCCAGGAACTCCTGAAACTGCCCGGACGCAGACGAGTACCCAAGATTTGCACCATTCGCACTGGTTGGATTCCTCCATTCCAGCAGCTCGGCGCCCATGTCCTTAGCTAGTAGTCTCATCGTGGTAGTCTTGCCAGAGCCCGCCGCACCTTTAAGGAGCAGCAATCGCTGGCGCAAGCGTCCGCTCACAACATCCTCCAGCCATTTCCGCACATCCGCGACCTTCCTCTTGTGTACCGCGAGCTCGTCCAGATTGACGGGCCCAAAGCGCTCTGACCATGGCCGCAGGTCGTCGTCGAGTGCTGCTGGTGTCGTCGGGCGCGTGGGCTTGAGGAACTTCTGGCTTGCAGCGAAAGACGCTGCTGACGAAGCGGGAGTGTTGTCGCGGAAGCGCTTGCGCGCGTTCTGGCCTACTATGCTCGAAGTGCTGGCTTTCTGGTCCGCAAAGTCGTCGTCGGAGATGGGATCGCTCACGATATCATCGAGAGGTACGGTCCGCGAGGAACTAGGCTTGGCAGTCGTCCGCTGCACCTGTTTGGAGAATAACGTCATGAGGTCGCCGTTCTTCCCCTTCTCTTCGACCTTGACGCGCTTCTGCCCTTTGCCCTTGGCCTTCTCTGGGCTCGTACTCGGGCTCTTGGTGCCCTTGTTCGATCCATTTCGTGCTTGGAGGACGGACGGTGCTGGTATGGGTTTGCCTGTGTCAGCGGTTCGAGATCGTGTCTTTGTCGGGCTCGGCGATGCGATCGCGTTTCTGCTCCCAGCTTTGGAGTTCGGGGAAGAAAATAGATAGTTCGTCAAGGTGTTCGTCTTCGGACGCTCGTCTTCTTCATCGTCTGATTCTACGACATTGCGCCGCCTTCTTTTGGCCGGCGGAGCCATTGGGAAGGTTGTCGTTTGGCAAGATTAACATGAGGGGTGCATGATCTCGGCAGGTGTAGAAATCAACGCGTCGTTGCTGGTGACGTTGACGAACTGGGGATGTTGGAAACAAGCAAAAGCAAGCAGGTGCACCTTGGGCGGCTAGTGAAGGCAGCTTCCTCGTCATTTGCAGCCTCGCGAATCTGGACCCCCACTTTAATTGGCACTTTACAGTGGGCGGGCACTAATCGGCTGCTAAATCGTCGGTGCCTGAGCGAGCTTCGTCCCGCCCGGCTGCAGCTCAATTAGTGAACCCATGTACATGAAAGTACCTGTGTCACAGGTTGGAGAGACAGACACTTGGAGCCAGTCGATACGGGGATGTGTTCAAGTAAAAATATCAAAAAGATTTGATTAATGATGTAAATCATCAGTGTAATAGTCATTTTGTTCATTACACAAGCGCATGTGACTATGTGCTGTTCGTAGCCCCTTAGACACCCGACATGGTGAAAAGTGACATACAAACGACTCCGCCAAAACAAACTATTACAAGTTCAACTTCATTTTCAATATGTACGCCCTGTTGTACAGTATTAATGACAGACTGTCGCGTATCCGTTCAATTACAAGTTCGGTCGAGCGAGGGTCACCGCGTTATCGGCATATGCTGTTAATTCAGACATTGACTACTGTTGACTTAGAACGTCCATCCGTGGAAATTATCGACGAACGTCAGCGCAGAGGCGAGGTACCGCTCGTGGACATCGCCCCACGTCCTCGCGGCTTCCTTCATGGCACGAATGGCTGTGACCATTAGATACGAGTCCCTTGCTTCAGCATCTGAAGAGGTACCTTTGACAAAGTGAGCGTCCTTGGCCCACTGCGAGTTCAGGGCCGCCTCCTCGACGTGGCCCCAGTGTCGCTGCTTCAGGTCCGTATCGACGTTGTCAGGATCGATCTTCGGTCGCAGGAGGACGATGTACACCACGAGGGTGAACAGCCACCATTGCCGGACCAGGCTCACGTGGAACTTGGTCGGGATGAATGGGATGAGGATTCGCACGGCGTGGCTCGTCGTCAGCAGGTGGACTGTGAAGAAGTTATAGGCGTGGGTGCCTCGTGGCACGGTAGCCACGAGCAGCGCCACGGCCAGCTCCTGAGACTCTTCAAATTGCTTCACGGGGTCTGTGATGTTCCACGCATTCCAGTACTCCAGCACAAGATCCTCGTGCTTCTCGAACAACGGCTCAATGTTCTCCGCATTTGGCTCCTTGAACAGCCCTTCGAATCGCTTGTCCTTCGCCAGCTTATCCATGATTTCGAACGTCGACTTCGAGCTAAATGAGGAGGGCTTCGAGTATTTCTTGTGATCAAGGTACTTGTGGAAAAAGTTGTAATTCGTCGTGGCAAGACCGAGCGCCTCGATGGCAACCTCCTTGCTGTCGATTTCGTATGCGTATCCGAGGTGGATGAGAGGGTGGCCGACTTCATGACAGGTCAGCATCGACACCAGGAGATTCTCTCGGTACATACGTACGACCACCAATAAGCGCATTTACCAAAGGCTCCTTGCCTTCGAACAAGAACTTATTCACGACCTTCTTCCAATCGTACCCGCAGCGTAGCGCCAGCTCGTCCTCAAAGAAGTCAACGTATGCCCTCTGATACCTCTTGTCGCCCAGGAAGTCTCGCCAGTCGTCCTCGGTGACCTCATCGGGCGACTCCGTCCATGGCTCCAGCTCTTTCGTCTCGATCTCGTAGAGGTCTTGGAGCTGCTTGTCGTTTGCGCCGAGCAGGTACGCCGAGCCGAGGATGTGCGGCGCATGGTTGTGAAACTCGAGGTTGTGGTAGAGAATGGCATGGTTGGCGTGGTTCGCCCTCAAGAGGTGCTTAAGGCATCGCGCGCGCTTCTCGGGGTCGGTCTCGACGTTGTGGACTTCGACGGGAGGGATGTCGATAGCTTGCGAGTCGTCTCCGATGAGCCTGTTGACGATTGGGACGTATGATAGGATTCCTGCCATGTTGAATGTCTTGTGGGTGTATCTTAGTGTGATTTCAAGGTGTTTCCATTATTGGAGAATTCAAGAAGAAGAACTGTGGTCGAGGGGCGCAAAAAAGCAGCCGTCGACATGGCGCGATCCGAGGGAAGCGTTGGGACCTAAAAGTGACGTGTTGATGGGTTTGAGGGAGTGGGGTATGTGAATGCAGGGTGTGCACGGTCGATTTCGCAGGGACGTTCCCGCCTAAGTAAGCCTGGCGCTGAAGCGTTGGCAAGCCCAACCCCGCCATTCAGCAGATGGCGCTGCCCCGCTATCGAACATCTGGGTCCGGGGACTTGAAGCCAACAGAAAGAAATTGATAATGCATTTGTCGCCTTTGTCTACGCGAGACAACCTTGTTCTCTCCTTCTGTCTCTGTACTCTACTCAAGCATCCATCTCGAGGATGTGGGGTCAACGTCTACGGCAAACGGCGGAGACCCAAAGACGGCTGACGACAGGATCCAAGTCCCGAGGCAAGGGATCTCAACAAATATTGGGCTCATGGAGCCGATTCCCGCCCGTCATGGACATGGATACAGTGCTGCAGCGGTCCGTCGGTCAAACTATATGTGGCACAACAAGACTCGAGTCTTAGAGTTTGCGTCGTCGAAGAATGGCCATCAAACTTCATACCTCATGGCTGTTCCATGCCCATGCGAGTGGCACAGAGATCGCGTCCCCAGCTGCACACGCATCACAGGTTTTCCTCTCAGCCCAAGACGATAGGTCCAAAAACGAGAATTGCCTAGAGTCTGATAATCTGGGAAGGGATACCTCAAGGTGTGGGTATGAGCTGGTTTAAATACTCCGACAAGCCCTTGCTTGGCCGCTTCACCGTCATACTGTCAAGAGGCGTGAGACCAAGTCAACCCCACAAGCAGGTTGCAGTAGGATCTTTCGTCTCCGGACACAGAACAGGGACCCAAGACACCCAGGTCAGCTTCAGCTGAGAACCGCTGCTTATGTAAACGCAGGCACATGCTGCATTGGAACCTCGAGCATGATGGATCTCGACATCTCGGTGAGTTTAGGGTATCTGATTGGTATGGATTATTATGGATTTATGGAGACATGCAAGTCAATTGACCAATAGAACCCCTGTTTTTCACCGAGCGTTGAAGTTGTAAGTCGACCGCGATGTCGAGGGGTGTAAGAGCCTCAGAGAAGGAGTGTATATTTTCGAAGCGTCGGGTTGACATGCGCGCCAAACACTCCTAAACAACTCACAAACATCATCACGTACATACACCCGGGGTCTCTTTGCATCTGCAATTTCCTTCCAGCCCCTTGTCAAATATACTGGGTCTCATTTCTCTATCCACTCAGACATCTCTATATCACCGAGATGGAGTTGAATCAAGAAGATATTTGGGAGTTCCTGCGCCGGACGTCGAGGAACAGCCCGGAACCTTACCCTGCCTTCTTTGATGACGCCTGCTGCTTCCACAACTACGACGCTGAATCCAGCTCGTCGCACCCTTCAGACGGAGACAGCCCTTCGCTCACCATGTTCTCTGCCTCTCCCCTCTCCCACCGGTCCCAAGACTCACACTCCGAGACGTCATCTGCTGCTACTCCTGACCCTCCACTCTCAAGCTCTCCACGCTTTGATATCCTTGACCACCACCTTGTTAGGGATTCCGTTGAAGATCTTGATGGCCTTCGGGGCTTCGACGACAGGTTGACCACTCCCCAACTTGACAAGCACGAGCTTCCCAGGCCGACAAGACTTGACATTCTCGGACCTGCCAAGCCTGCCAGAACTCGGGTCCTCCAAAATGTCAATAAGATCAACGAGGTCAGAGACACCGGCGCCTGTATGCGATGCCGCATCCAGAGAGTCTCTTGCTCGGCATCCGGCACTTGTCCAACCTGCACCAAGGCTTATGCCTCTACCACGCGAATTGCGGACATCTGCTGCAGCCGGAAAGACTTCAGCGCCATTGCAAGAGAATGGTCTTCTAGAAGATGTGAGATAGACCACACCCTGCATTCCACCTCCTCCTCTACCCGACTCACCTCGAACCGAACATCAAAAGGCTGTCATAATTCTAACGTGATCCAGTTACTTCTTTTCACCGAAAGAATGAGGACGCTTTCAAGGATATTCTCCGGAATTCTCGACCTGAGTTTGACGACCATCTCTTCGAGGGCCAGATCTTCTTGGACAGAAGCTGCACAGGCGTTGCGCTCCCAGCTTGCCTGAAAAACTTCACCTGCAAGACCCCTGGGACTAATACCATCACTCACATGGGGTGCACATTCTCGAGAAGTCCTTTGAATCCTGCCTTATCTCAAAGTCACCTACTGGAGTGGGCTGAGCGATCCCTGTCGCCCGAGGAATTCAGCACCTTCGAGGGCGGCATTGAGTCGTTCATCGGGGCCTACCTCAAGTTGGGTTATTCCGGCCAGCGTCCTCAGGTAAGACAACCTCCCAGACGTTAATCTCATTCTTCATGATGTCTGACCTTCACAAAGCTCTCACTCCTCGAGAAAGTCCACAAATTCAAGTCCGCCTATAAGATTTGCAGGGCCCCAACCCTCTTCTTCCTCCAACAAAACGGCAAAGCCGCCGAGGAGCTACCTCTCCCAGCCCAAGCGGAGCTGAGAGGCGTCGCTCGCGCGGCCCTCGAATCTTCAGAGAGAGACATCCTCAGTGAACTTGACAGGTACCTCAAGACACCCAAGATCTCCGACCAAGACAGACCTGCGGTATGGGCCGCTCTCTGGCAACTCATGTTCGTGTACCGGGACCTGCTCCGCAACGTCCGACCCTGGCGCAATAACGCCGAGGCCCTCTTCAACGCGGTCGCAGTCTTCTACGCGACCTTGTTCAGGACCAAAGCTGCGCTCAAATCTTTGGAAGAAGTCAAGTCTGCCTGGCTGCCCAATGACGCTCAACGTCATGATCTCGTCGGGGCGTTCGACCATGCTCTGAGCCTGCGTGATACCTTCTGTAAGTCTTCCGAAAGACCTTCCTTTTCACTCATACGTACAGTCATGACTTACGCGCCGTTCTTAGACCAGAGCATCGTCGCCGGCATTGCCTCTATTGACGAGCGTCTCAAGATCCTCGTTGTGGACCCTGAGATGAAGGTGCTGAACCGCAGGGCGACTAATAAGAAGCCTGCTGGCGCCAAACGAGGCGCTGCGCATAGTCATGATGGCGACGAAGTCATGGGCGGCTGTTGATTCTTGCCGTGTGTTTTTTAACCAATGGGACGAAAAATGTACGATGGATATTTTTTTGATTGGCGGGCACCGGGCATGCGGCGTTGATTTGGTTGCATACATCGTGGAAATTTCCACGGATACCCGGGTGCGCTCACGGTAGGAGCCGCCCATGATGAGATATTGTCAAGCGATGCGCATGGGAGTCCACGCCAGCATGCTTCACAATTATGACTTAATGAGTGGGGATCATTCTTAGGTGTTTACTTACCATTTTATCTCAATTTGCTCATGAACTCGCAATTTTCAATATCACACAACTTATATCAAGCCATCACCACCTGGTTCATAGAGTTGCGCTCTCATCGGCCAAGCCAACTCAACTAAGCACCGCTCCACGCGCCGAGGGAAAGACAGTCTTGAGTGATGAACTTCCCTCGGAGCCGAAACTCACTTATCAGTCCGTAGCTTGTATTAACTTTGAGGCTTACCAAGACAATGGGGCCATGCGTGAACACATGCAACCAGATCGCTGGGACTCGGAGGTTATCTCCTGTAAATCACCCAGGATCATGCGCAGTCTTATCAAGAGCCGAACATGCGGGGACTACAGGGCCAACCCAGGAACATGTCATCCGAAGTTGAGATGGATCACGGCCAAATCAGGATTCAGCGCGATATCTATGGGGTCGCTCCTTTTTGCGCGGGAAACGGCCAAGAACCCCACCACGTCTTTGACCGAGGGGAACCTGGCAACAACGGAGGACCCCTCACCAACACGTCGGTATCATCAACGATTACAACCACGCAAGATCATCATTTGAAATATCTTTCGATGCTCTTTTAATTGATCAGAACATACATCATTCACAGGCGAAAGAAACAACAGCAGGCATCTCAAGATGACTGCAACACACCCCTATCAACAGCTGGACATCGATGAGCGGGTGAAGCGAGTACTTCTAAAGACGCCGCTCATCGATGGCCACAATGACCTCCCCCAGCAGCCGCGTTGCTGTTTCAAAGGCAAGATCCACAACAACCCCAAGTTCGACTTTGCGAATGGCTTCCAGAGGGGAATGACGGACATCCCTCGCTTGAGGGAAGGTGAGTCGCTCAACACACTTGTAGTCGTGACACCTTGGGCTTCTACTAACACGCATGGCAGGTGCCGTCGGCGGCCAGTTCTGGTCCGTCTGCGTTCCCTGCCTGCGGTCCGCGGAGAACTTCTCAACGGCAGAGTACTCGACCATGGCGCGCGACGCTATTGAGCAGATCGATCTCACGCTGCGCCTGGTCGAGTCGTATCCGGAGACGTTTGAGCTGGTGAACGGGCCGAATGAGGTGAAGAAGATTTATGAGTCTGGGCGAATTGCGTGTTCAATAGGTATTGAGGGGTATGTATCTCATCGGGCTCGTGTAAGTCGTCACTGGGATGCTAACCGGGTTGAATAGCTTGCACATGGCTGGTAACAGCATCGGCATCATTCGCGCTTTCTATCGCCTCGGAGTTCGATATGTGAGTAATGAGAAACTATGACATGGCATTTGTCATGGCTAACGTTGAGTCTCTAGTGCACACTCACCCACGTTTGCAACAATGCCTTCGCGGACTCGAGCACTTCGAAAGTTGGACCAGTCCACGGTGGACTGTCCAAGTTAGGACGCTCAGCCCTTGTTGAGATGAACAGATTAGGTACCTAATCATCGACTTCACACTCAAGTATCATGTCTAACTCCATCCAGGCATGATCGTGGACATCTCTCACGTCTCCGAAGACTGCGCCAAGCAAGTCCTCGAGCTTTCCCGCGCACCAATCATGTTCTCCCACTCCAACGTCAAGGGCGTGTTCGACTGCGCGCGCAACGTCCCCGACCACATCCTCGACATGGTCCCCGCGAACGGCGGCATCGTCATGGTAACCTTCGTGCCGGAGCACGTCGCCACCCGCCGAAGGGATGCCAAGATGGAGATGGTTCTCGATCATTTATTCTACATTGCCGAGCGCATCGGATGGGACCACGTCGGCCTCGGCTCCGACTTTGATGGCATTGCGTCAGTGATCCCTGGACTGGAGGATGTCAAGTGTTACCCAGCGCTTTTGAAAGCCATCTTGGACCGAGGTGCAACGGAGGAACAGCTGGCCAAGGTCGCCGGGGAGAATATCCTCAGGGTATGGCGCGGGGTTGAGAAGGTGAGAGATGAGATGAAGGCGGAGGATGTCTTGCCGGTTGAGGATGTCTGGGAGGGACGAGAGTGGTGGAAGTATGACGGCTATTATCAGATGAAGGTTGATTACGATGAGGATTCGGGGGGTGATTGGTATGGCGTCCCTCCTCCAGATGAGGGTTTGTATCTTGATGATGATGGGGACAAATAGGCAATTTGGACTGAGTTACTGTGGTCAAACATGAGAAATTGCAAGAAAGATACATTGAAGCTGTCAATTCCTCACCGTAAATATTTAAATCAATCATCCTATCACGTTCACCACGGTACTTTGTTTCATGTTGCTATTCGCAACATCACCAGTTGTGTTGCAAGCAATAGCAATAACACAAATTGGCCTCAACGTCGCCCAATCAAGTTCGGTTCTGGGAACTTATACTTTACCACAATGAATGACTTTCGAGAACAGTTCAAATGTATTGTACTTGGTTGTGTAAATGGAATGAGGGTGCGATGATCGCCGCGGAATACCTAACCATGGCTTCAGTTCACCGTGCTTGTGTTAAGTCAAGAGCATCACGTTCCTTTCTGGTCGTCTCCATTAGCCTTGAAACCGTCTCTCTATTGCTCCGACAAACAATCTCAACTCGCAACTCGGCACCCTGTTGCGACGTTGAGCGCGGGGTAGTTGTTCACCTCCGCGGCTGAGCTCAACCGGCGATAAGAGTTTCCCGCGGAATAAACACCGACGAACCTAGTCATTCCCACCACTCTTATCAACTCCATCTCGCATGTTCCCTGACCGTTCTATCGTACGAATAATGCGGGGCAGCTCCGGTCTGGCACTTACACTGCCGACGTCCGTATAAAGACATGCACTCCTTGAACGACGCCCAAGATGGCCGACTCGCGCCGCAACCGCCTTCATTAACATCTCACCCAGGATCTCGAGGAGACGAAACATGGCGACAAAGAAAGAGCTGATGGCTGATGAGCCGTCCAAGGCCCTCGACCTCCTCGACACCGCAGAGGGCGAGATCGTCGACCCCCAGGAGTACTCGGCTCTCCTCCGCAAGATCGACTTCCGGCTGATGCCTCTGCTTTGCATCACATACGCCCTGCAATCCATCGACCGTACCACGCTCAGCTATGCCGCCGTCTTCGGTGTCCGCGAGGATATCGGCCTGACGGGCTCAGAGTTCTCATGGGCTGGCGCCGTGTTGTATCTCGGGTACCTTTTCTGGGAATTTCCGACGAACGTGCTTCTGCAGAAGCTCCCTGTCGGCACCTTCTTCGCGGCGACCGTTGTCCTCTGGGGTGCAGTCCTCATGTGCCACGGTGCGGTACACAGCTTCCCCGGACTCGCGGCGACAAGATTCTTCCTCGGCATGTTCGAGGCCTCAGCCAACCCAACCACGATGATCCTGTTCTCGATGTACTACGAGCGCAAGGAGCAGCCTTTACGTATGGGCATCTGGATTGGATCTGCCGGGTTGGGATACATCGCCGCCGGCATCGTCTCATTCGGCCTCGGACACATCTCTGGATCGATTGCGAGTTGGCGGATTCTGTTCCTGTTCTGGGGCTCCATCACTGTTGCTTGGGGAGCGCTGATGCTGATCTTCCTACCGGGCTCGCCTCTTACGACCAAGTTTCTGAGCGAGAAGGAGAGAGCTATGGTTGTCAACCGTGTCAAGACGAACGGTACTGGCGTTGAGAACAAGGAGTTCAAATGGCCGCAGTTCTGGGAGGCCATGAGGGACTTGAAGACGTGGTTGTTGTTCCTCTTTGCTGTTGCCAGTAACTCGCCCAATGGTGGTTTGACGACTGTAAGTCAGAAACATGCGTGAACGTGGGCATATACTAAGTTCTACCAGTTCCAAGGTCTTGTCATCAAGGGAATGGGCTTCTCGACTCTGCAAACTACCCTTATTCAGATGCCCTCTGGCGGAGTTCAGTTGATTCTCTGCCCCTTGGCATGGTATGCTACCCCTGCTCCATCATGTTTTGCACCTTTCTCACCTCGTTCAGCTTCTTCGCCTCATACTACCCCAACGCCCGTCTCACCATCATGCTTGCCTGCCTCGTTCCCTTCCTCGCAGGCATCCTAGGACTCTGGCTCATCGATCAATCGAACCCTTACGGCCGCCTCGCCTGTCTCTGGATCTCGTTTGCCTACACCGCCACCTGGACGCTCTCCATGTCCGTTGCCACGGCCAACACCGCGGGCCATACCAAGAAAATCACCACCAACGCGATGCTGCTCATCGGATACTGCGTCGGAAACTTCATCGGCCCCTTCTTTTTCAAGACAGAGCAGGCTCCGAGGTACACCCTGGGCGTTGCTATGATGATCTTCTGCGTTGGTCTGCAGATTGCTTGTTTGGCTGGCATCTGGGTCCTTCTGTGGACTCGCAACCACTCACGGAAGACTGAGCATGCGGAGTCGCCGGAGAATGAGCAGCAAGCTTACGAACGAGGTCTTTTGGATCAGACCGATTTCGAAAACAAGTACTTCAAGGTGCGCCATACCAGTCCTATCTTGAGTTGTAACGAGCTAACATCGTCTAGTACGTATATTAAGCGACTTGTGACGAGAACGTATGAGAAGACATCGAGAAAGGAGTGGACCCAAGGCTCTCTGCTTTTCGAGTTGTAAATTCATTGTCATGAGATAGAACAGATACCCTTGCATTGTCACAATGGCCTGTACTGCAATAGCTCTTGCCCTGAAACGACGCCCAACCTTTGATATACTGTCCATCTCTTGTCGTTCGCATATCATAATCACCGTGTTCTGTTCAACGAATGCCTCATTCAACGATTAAGGTAGAACCAGCGGCTAGCTTTAGTTGGAAACCTCTTCCGTCGGCTTCCGGCCCCAAAGTGAGTACCTAGATCTGTAAGTCATTGTAACAATCAAGACAGCCCAAAAGCCGAAACTTACACAGGCCAGTATGCATGAACATTCCGGTTATTAAGATTTTGGCGCACGTCGATCAGGAGCACCTGGACTTCTGCCGGGCTCCAATCAAGAATTCTCGTCAGTGGCCCCATAAGAAAGCCTTCAAATCCCATGTTGAGGTTCTCGTTCTCCCACATGCCTAGCTCTTTGTACTTGGGATCTTTAGGCCAGGTATTGATCGGCCACTTGTACTGCTTGAAGTGGACATCCTCGAACCCTACGTCGACCATCATCTGTCTCAATTCCGGGACGCTCTGAAAGGCGCGTCCGATTTTGGCCATGGCTTCTGCGAGGAGGCCGAGAGCTTTAGATATCGCGAGGTCACCTGTGAAAGTATCGTCGTCGCAATCTGGGAAGATGTCGAATTCGTCCAGTTCAAGGTAGCCACCAGGTTCTAGGCCACTGCGTGCACCAATATGTTAGACTTCGAGTCATCTTTCAAGATTCGTGATGATCTTACTCGTAGCACTTCTGGAGGTAGCTTTTCCAGTTCGCAATGCTCGATGTCATCATGCGGCTGTGGATATAATCGAACGGCTTTGAGAAGGTCCAGGGTTCTTCGATATCATCGATCTCAAACCTGACATTCGGCGGTACACTATGCAGTATTAGCTTAAGAGCGAAGTTTCAGCTGTATTCTAAGAGCCAAACCGTACAAGTCAACTTGAACTGCTGAGAGATCTACGCCAATGACCTGCACGGACACCAGTTAGTTACAATCCCGCTTGGAGCACAATCATAATCTTACTTCAGCTTCGGGGTGCTCATCACCGAACTCAATGGCCCATAGCCCAGTTCCCGTGCCCACATCCAGGGCGCGCTTCACCTGGGCACCCTTCTCATTGGGAGGGGCGGTCCCTAGCTTGTTGTCGTGTGTGAGAAGGAACATATGATGTTGCAAGTCTAAAAACATTAATGTTTTGTACCTGGGTGTCAAGTTGGGGGAGAGTAACCTAGCCTCTCATTCTCTCTGTCGTCGTTTGGATAGTTGTACTCTATATTTGTTAGGACCACTTGTGATTGATGCGATGAAATCGACCGTCTTACTTCCATCCTTGTAACGATGATATGTCCTGCCATTCTCAAGTCTGTAGTCCAAGATCGAGCCGCTCACACTGGTAGTCGAAGAGGCAAGACTCTGTTGAAGTCAGCACCAGAGTTCTCTACTTCATGACGTGGACTTACGCCAATCGACGAAGCGCCATCATCAATCGTCTGGACAAGTCAGCAAACCTGACTTCAGATTGTCACAGCAAAACCATACATCATCGGCGACAATAAGACCATCAGTTTCGGGGGCAACATGTGCAGGGCTTGCGGCCGCTGGAGAAGACCCGGCCGACTTCTGAGGGCTCTTTGGACTCTTTGGGCTCCTTGTACCGGCCATTCTTGCAACGACTCTCGTGAAGAGCTTCTCGAGACCCTAAAAGATCTTGCAGTTGCAACCGTAATGGGAGACATCTGTTCCGCGAGCGACGTTTTATCTCTTCATAACCACCGCCTGAGATTTTTTTACCCCTCTTCTTGGCTAGATATCGTCATGCAAGTTTGCGATGAACTGTGACGGCCAGTGCATAAGCGACGAGTTGCCAACGGGTTTTGATGGTCTGTTGGTTCTTCAATTGCAACTCACGACTGGGGTTGTCCAAATGCAGCACTCAAGCCTTCCAACAGACATTTCAAGGCCCTGCTTCCAGCCCCGGATCCGACCAATGGCTACCGATTGTGAAATGATTCATACTGCATCTGCGAGCAGCCCGATGGAGAACATGCAATGCAACGGATTTCTCCATGCCAATCGGCGAGGTTTCAATGTGTCCAAACAACGATGTAAACAGGGGTTTTCATCTTCAACATGGGCAGGTATCGCACATGATGTCTCTGGCGAGCCAGCGCCAGAGCGGCCGTCAACCGCAGCAGGGCAATTGCTGTATGAAGAATACGGAGACTGCCCAAGATCTGTAGAAGCAAATGTCCCCCCCCAGGTCCTCTCATACTTTTGGCCGGCGACTTTCACCTTAGTTACCAGTTCCTCCAGCTTCTTCCACCGTAGGCTTCCGTCCCCAAAGAGAATATCTTCCCATCGTTAGCCACATGCACTCATAAGTATCGGGAAATCACGCTTACATGGGCCAATAAGCATGAATACGTCGATCCCCCAAATCCTTCCGAACATCGACCAGAAACCCCTGAACCTCCACCCGCGTCCACCCATGAACCCGCGTAAATGGCGCCATAGCCCACGCCTCGACGCCCGCATTAAGATTCTCGTTACTCCAGGCTCCAATCTTCTTATGCTTCGCGTCCTTCGCCCACGGGTTCGTCGGCCACTTATACTTCGTCATCGTCACGTCGCGGAAGCCGATGTCGAGCATCATGCCCCTCAGCGCGGGGATGCTTTGGAACGCGCGCCCGGACTTTTCGAGGGCGCTGAAGACGAGGGCGAGGTATCTGTGCAGAGCGTGCTCTGGACGGAGGGTGCCGTCGTCGGAGGTGGGGTGGTCCATCTCGTTCATCTCGAAGTAGCCACCGGGGGCCAGGCCGCTATATAACTCAGCATGGGATTGGTCATTGGAGGCGCGAAATAGGGAATGTAGACTGACTCGTAGCATCTCTATAGATAGACTCGCCAGTCCGACAGGCTAGAGGTCATCATTCGACTGTGGATGTAATCGAACGGCTGGGCGAATGTCCAGGGTTCTTCGATATCGTCAATCTCAAACTTCACGTTCGGCGGGGCGCTGGGTCAACGTTAGCCGTCAGTGATCCTCACACTACTTCTCAAACCTAAAGTGAAGACAGCGGGGGCTCGTACAAATCCGGCTGAATGGCAGACAAGTCAACGCCAAGAACCTACATCACGGTCAGCTCACCCACCCATCATCCAGACCAAAATACTGTACGCCATCTAACCTCAGCCTCAGGATGCTCATCCCCAAACTCAACCGCCCAAACCCCCGTCCCCGTGCCGACGTCCAGCACCCGCTTCACCTCCACGCCGAGACTCGTGTCATTCGGCGGCGCCGTGCCCAGCTTGTTGTCGTACGTGACGAGGAAGAGGTTATGCTGCATCTCGAGGCGGTCGCTTTCCGTCTCGTCGTTGGGGTAGCTGTACTCTGCGCACGTTGAATACCTTGCGCCGCTTCAGAAGACGTCCGGAGAGTGACTGGGTGGTCTTACTTCCATCCTTGTACCGGTGATAGGTCCTGCCGTTCTCGGTGCGGTAGTCGAGGATGGAACTGCTCACACTAGCGCTTGAGGACGAGATGCTCTGGCAGAGTTTGGCGTTACTAAAACATCGCTCTGGTCTACGTGGTTGATGAGAGCCAGTGGTCCACTTACGCCGAGGACTGACACAGCGTCGTCCGTTGTCTGCGATGCCTTGATTAGCACCCATCGGTAACTCAAGCGGGCATCATACCCACCTCGTCAGCGGCGAGAATAGCCTCTCCGCTGTCTTTAGGGATGTTGGCGGAAGTTTGGGCCATCTTGAGCTGAAGTTTTGCGCAAAGAAGGGCCCGCTCAAACTAGGTAGGCTGTATGATAAACCATTCCAAGAAGAATCGAAAACTGCGCAGACACCGATTTATCTACCCCCAAGGAGCCTTCGGACTTTCCCACCGATCTATTTTACCCCTCCTCCACGGCTGGAAACACATCATGCAGAGTCGCAGTGATGCTTCCCGCATAAGCGAACGAGTAATCCTTGATGCTCGGCAGGCTGCGTTGTCGTTGTTGTCCACCATTGACACATCCAGCAAGCGCCGTGTTGGGGGAGGAAAATCGTCTTAGACCCTGGCTTGAGACGCACGTCGAGGGAGCTTTGAAACCCCCACTTTTATGTTGTCTTCCGCGCTCCCCGGTGCAGAACCCATGCTCAGTACATGGAGTTACTCCAGCCAGCACGTCGGGGGTTTGGTTTACACCTAGCTGGATACAAAATCCTTGGGACCTTCATCACAACGTTCTGCTTGTTGGCCGGCCTTCCGCTAAAAGTGCGCAATTCACGGCGGACGAGTACTTGGCCTGTCACCATCGCCGGAGCTCGGCGGCCGGAAAAGTGGGGAGTTATCGGAGCCGGGGCCGAATACCGAAACGGGCAATATGTTCACCGGGTCATCTTTGCCAACACACCCCTTGAACCGCAACAACGACGGGAGCCGGCCACGAAACACAATCTGTAAACACAACAACTGGCGGGTTGAACCACAATTTCCATTACATGCACCACTTAACAACATTTTCCATCAAGAGGGGGGTGGAAGGAATCCAAGTCCAAGTCTGAAGAGGAGGGAGGGTGGGGTATCTTTCTTTCATCAACAAATCATCCTCACGAAAAAAGGTCACTTCTGCATCTCCTGGATCCTGACCGTGACCCTCTTCTCCGGCTTCGTCCCGTCCTTGCGCTTCTTCCCCACGTTCGCCAGCCGCGCCAGCACGTCTTGCGGGTCGATGCCCACGGCGGCGCCCGGCGCGACGTGCACGACCAGGTCGATCCGCGCGCGCTTCTTGTCTGGGTCTATGCTCTCTTTGGCTTCGAATCTGCAATATTTCCGTCAGCGTTGGCTCGTCGGCAGGCAGTTTGAACAGTTGTGGAAATACACACCTTAAAGTCGACTCCAACTCATCCACGTTCTTGGGCCACGCCGGCACCAAGTCCACAATCACAGCCGCCACGGCGCCGAGATACTCGGCCCAAAACACGCTCTCCAGCTTCGCCTCCGCGACGAGCCCCTTCAGGTTCCCGTACAGCTGCGCATCGATCGGACCCAGGTTGGACCCCCACCGCGCGCACACTGTTAGGCCCAGCACCGCTCGCGCAAGGTGCGTCAGCCCGGGGGCGCTCGGGTCCCGGGTCACCGTCTCGTGCAGCGCGTACGACGCGTTGGCGTCGTCGTCCTCGCCCTGGTGGATCCAGATCTGCTTCGCGAACAGCGGGCCGAGCCCGAGCGAGAAGACGGTCGGCGTGCGCGAGATGTCGACGTTCTTGGGCACCGCGCCGTACAGCGTGCGCAGCACCGCCCCCGCGACGGCGAGCTCGCCGTCCTCCTCGCCCGAGTAGCTCTGCAGTGCGAAGCCCGCGAGCGCCTCGAGCGGGTTGCTCTCGCGTACGCTCTTGGGGAGCTTCATGAGCAGGGCGCCGTCGCGGTTGGAGCCGCCGCAGAAGGTGACGGTGCGCAGGTGCGGGACGGTGCGGATGAAGGCCTCGACGACCTCGATGATGGCGGGGAACTGCTGGCGGCGGCGCTTCGACATGCCGTAGATCTTGCCCTCGTGCTCGCGGTTGACGCGGCGCATCTTCTCCGTCTGCTTGAAGAACTCGCCCGTCACGGTGTAGGTGCCGACCGAGGGGATCGGGTACGGCTGGATCGGGTCGTTGTGCTGCAGCATGCACCCGTAGCCGCGGAAGCCGCCGCCGCAGAGGTAGGCGTCGATGCCGCCGGGGACGGTCCCGTTGACGGCGCCGCCGGCAGCCGCCCACTCCTGTTTCGCCTGGGCGAGGGCGGGGAACTTGTCGCAGAGCTTGGCGAAGGCGCCCTGCATGCTCGCGTTGAGCTTCTGCTTCTCTTGGGCCTGTACCTCCGCGGTCTGGCCCTCGAGGATGCGGATGAGGCGGGCGGCGCCGAAGGGCATGCTCTCGCCGGCGAGGGCGGCGGCAATCTCGTAGTCGGGCAGGCGGGTGTCGACCCAGGTCATCTGGACGGAGCCGCCACCGAGGTCGAGGAAGAGGCCGCCGCGGGAGATGTCGACGAAGGCGGAGCGGGAGCCCATGACGGCACCGAAGAGGGTCTCAACCTCGGGGGCGAGGACGTGGACGCCAATGTCGGCGGCCTCGCGGATCGCCTTGAGCATGTCGGCGGCGTTGGCGGCGCGGCGCATGGCCTCGGTGGCCAGGACGGAGAAGTGGGCGGGCGGGACGCCATAGGAAACGGCGATGCGGCGGAAGCGGGCGAGGGTCTCGGCGACCTTTGTGATTGTCTCGGGAGGGAAGGTCAGGGGCTCGGAGGCGGCGGTGGAGGAGGAGTTGAGGGCGTCGAAGAGGGAGATGCCGGCGCGTTCGCGGTATATCGGGCGCAGCAGCCGGGTCTGTGGCGGGGTGAGGTCCGAGATCGAGAAGCGGATGCCGTTGCTGTAGTGGGGTCAGCGGGCGGCCGCCTCTAGTCAGCGGGAGCTAGGACGCTAAGGAGGGGAGGGGCAGCCGCTGTGTGCGCTGTGTTTGGCAGGGTAGCATCCGAGAGGGGGGATGGAGGGGAGATGGGAGGGGGGGTAATCCCCCAGACAGATCGCTGCGATGCGCGAGAAAAAAGAAAGCACGCCGGATGCTTGGTTGAAGAATTTCGGGAAGAAGGCGAAGGAAGGAAAAAGCAACGACTCGACAGGCAAAGGACGACGACTCAGGAACTTCATTTCTCGGACTGACCTGCCCATATCAACCAGGGCGTATAGGTAATTGGGGCCCGCGGGGTCCCATTTTGGCAACAGCCGCTCAAAGTTGTCAAGCGTTATGATGTCAGCGCTTGAAGCCATGGCGCCAGGGTTCGTTTGGGAGGAGGAGGAGGAGGAGGAGGGGTGGTGGTGGTGGTGGTGGTGGTGTTGCACCGTACTGTGTTGTGTGTGCTGTGCTGGGTGCTGGGTGCTGGGTGGTATTTCGGGATTTCGGAGCTGGATGCAGAACAGGACGGATCTCTATCCAAGGTTGTCGGCTGCCGACATTTGCCTGGCTGTGGCTGCTTGTTGGTTGCGGGCTGATGATCTTCGTCTCCTCTAGGATTCGCGTGTACTAAATCTGTGTGTGCGTGTGTGTATGCGCAGAAGGGTGTGTTGTATGATGTGCGCGTGCGTACGTGGGATATATATATGGAGGGCGAGATGTCGGTAGGAAAGCGGCCGAGATGAAGACGACGACCACACGGGCGTTGACTGATGTTTTGTGAATGTTGGAGAGCGGAAGGAACACGAGGGGAGAAATGGGGCCCCTGGCAGCTGTTGGTGGATTATCAGCAATGGACGGCAGGAGGCCAGAATCCACTATCACTCATGCGTCGTCGTCCGTTCCTGTCTTCGTTCCTGAAGGGCTTGCTGCCTGGGTGAGGTCAGGGCAGGTCAGGTCAGGTCAGTCTCCGTGCCAAAGGGAGACAGGCAAGAGAAAGAATGGCAAGGTGTGTTGGGCGTCGCTGATTCGGGAGGGTTGAAAACCAGTCCTAACCTAATATACTTGGCTGGCAAACCAAACACCCTCAGTCAGGATAGAATACCTGGGTACAAAAGGCCTCATCTCAAGTATCTCGTAGTCCAGGTAAGGCAAGTGCAGCGAGCGAGGACGCCGCTAGCAAGACTCCAATGCAAACAATGATGCGCAGCAGCATTGGATCGCAGCGAGAACCCCGGGCCCCATCCACTCACTGCCTACAGATACCTAGCAGAGAGTGTCTCGTCCACCTTGCCTCAAGCATCCAGCTGGGTTGGGTCTGTCTTTTTTTTCGGCATGCTTGTCTCTGGCTCACTGCTCTGCTTTGGGCTGCTTTACACTAATGTGCTGTGCTGCAGTAAGTAGGTACCTCAGCCAGGCGCAACTTTGACCCCCCACTTCACCACCCAAATTCACATCGTCCCAAGAAAAAAAAAAAAAGATATGTACCCCTCCTCATCCAAGCCCGCCTGTCTCTCTTTTTGCCTCACGCCAGCTACAAGACACAATACGTGGAACACGACAGGACAAGCCCGTCAGACGGGAGACACTTGTTTGGCTCAAAACATAACCAGCTTGCCGTCCACATCACCTCATCTGCCTTCCGGGCTGCGAGATGTGAATCATCGCAGCCAATCGTGCCCCTCTCCCCCCTCCATGCCCGCTCAGAGCCGCTGCGGTAGGGATGATGAGGAGGGAGGAGGGGTCGCGTGACGGGACCACTGACCGCACGCCTTCACACGAAAGAGAGAGACACTGGGCCTGGGCAGGAAAATGCACGTTGGACGCAGCTCTTCATGCGGGTCAGCCACGGCCTGCAGGCCTGGCCAGCGCTCGTCGAGACAGACACGCTTCTGACGGCTCTCGCTTCCCCTTCCCAGCGTCGCTGCCCACTACTTCCATATCCCGCTTCAAGCATTTACCTAGCCCGTCGATGGTTACACAGTCCGAACGTCAGCCCTCCTTCAACCGAGTCGATGGCGACAAGGCGGCCAATGAAGGCACCCGGTCGTGCCATCCCCGCGATTGACATGGTCATCCTCCCCATCCCCGCCCGCCGCTGCCGTCCAACGCCGGTCGCTGCGAGAGCTCGTCCGGGGCCCTGCCGGCCGGAAGAGCGACGAAAATTTCACCGAAGTGAGGGGTTTCGTGTCTCCGTGTTCTGCCATCATCCATGACAAGTCAGATCTCGACGCGGACGTCCAAAACACACACGCCTGAGCCGCCTAAACCCAGGGTTTCACGCAGCGAGGGAAAGGGTTTAGCGGAACGACGTTCTGGCTGACATGAGACGGCCTG